GACATCATTTTGAGCCATTTTATGAAATACGAATTTATTATCTACAGAACTAGTATCAAATGTATGCATAAAATCTATTGGATCCTGTGAAGTTGAAGGCAGAACTTTTAATAAGTCTTGCGATACATTAATGAAAAAATCATTTAATTCATTAGGGCTCGACCGAGGAACATTTGGGGAAGGCTGTTTCCGGTATTTATTAACAATAGTCCACATAGCTTTAGATTTGTTCTGTTTTTTTTTAATATATGTGTCAATATTGTAATTTTAGCTTTTTTTACAGCTGCATAATACATTGCACTGTACTTGTTTTTCCAATTTTTCAAATCAGAAGTTTTGTATAAATTATATGCTTCCCTTAAGAAATTAAGACATTCTCTCATTTTATTTAAATCATTTGTATACCACGAATTGTTGTATTTAGCTTTCTTCGAATTATAATTGATATATTTCTCAGGAAAAGCATTAACATAACTGTATAAGATATTATTTAAAACCATAGTACATTTATCATTGGGTTCTATATCAGTGTCAAGAAAATCCCAATCAATCTTAGATAACATATTATAAAATTTAAGTTTACCATATTCAGATATAGGTCTCACAATTTTTAAATTATTATCCATAATACAATCATTACCAATTTTTAAGTTTAATGCAACTCCTACGTGATCAGATAAATTGAGATTTAAAGGATAAACCTGCAATTTATCTTTTGGAATGTTACTGAATACATTGTATACAATATTTCTAAATCTAATACAGAAATTAACATTAGGTATGAGGCCATAACTTTCACATAAATCGATTAATGACACTGTATCATTATTATATTCATTAAAATGCACATTGAAAATTATAGGGTCGAAGTAGGTCACGAAAACGTGCCGCCTCTCAGATTTGAACTTTACTAAATCCCCAAGGACGCAGTATAGATACCACACGCATCTGGATAACTGGTTGCCTAAATGTTTCATATTTTACTAAAAAATAAAACTAATTCAATGCAATAAAAAGAAACAAATTTATTGCAGTTGAACATCACAGTAAATGTTGAAAATGTCAACCATTTTGTTCAAGCCACATGTTCACTATCTTTTTAATTTCAAAAATGTTGTGTAATCCTTTCGTCAATACCCATTGTTCAATTTCATGTTGCAACAGAAATTCCTGACCGTTGCGGAAATCTTGTCAAAGATATTTGCGAATTATGCTCAAGTCGTCTCAAATTATCAATAATTTCCTCAGATACTGAAAGTCTTCCAGCAGGTTTCCTTTTGTTGATACCACCAGTTCGAACAAATCTGTTGATTACATCTCTAAGGTGAGCCTCTAACGATGTTTTTTGAATTATTAAATCACCGGATTTGGCTTACAAGCGGTTACAGAATATACGAACTCTTCGTTTACGAATATCTCATTGCGATAACAAGACACTGTTAAATGTCAAAATAAACAGTTTTCACGATCTTCGCTTCGTAGCACAAAAACAAAATTTGCCTACGCAATCCCCAACAGAGTTTTTAAAACGACTATTTTGTTGTTTGGAGTTGGATTAAAGAGAATTACTGTAATTCACACGTGAAAAACGTTAAAACAATAAAAACGATGACTTTGTAGCGGCACAATAACACATGGGTAAGCAGAGCAAAGATAAGTTGTCTTGTGGTGTAGTGGTCAGCATACCAGCCCGGAATGCTTGGAGACGTGGGTTCGAATCCCACCGAGGCACAACATTTTTCTCTGCTTACCTATATTGGTGACCACCGACAGGAAACGCGCACGCAACATCCTTCTGCCACCGCCATGTGCCCGCTGTGTTCGGGGTCCGCAGCACCGCCAGGGTTCGAACAACGACCGTAAGAGTGGTAGGGGCGACGCCAGCATCTATCTCCTTCGCACCCCAGCACGACCGCGCGCTGTGTCGCTGGGGGGGGGGGGGAGTACTGTAGCGGCACAATAACACATGGGTAAGCAGAGCAAAGATAAGTTGTCTTGTGGTGTAGTGGTCAGCATACCAGCCCGGAATGCTTGGAGACGTGGGTTCGAATCCCACCGAGGCACAACATTTTTATCTGCTTACCTATAACTTTAAATGGAAGGTTACAAATGACATTATTGACAAGTGAGAATTGCCATAATGAGACATAATTTCAACCAAGCGGGATTTTTTAAATTCATGGCCAACTACGCCCTTAGAATCATTTATAAAAACTCTGTACTACCTTTACTAAATATCCATGTTTCATCCAAAAACATGGTGTGAAATTTTGTTTTTTTTTGTGGTGCTGATATTCACGCAAAAATTTTGTTCTTCTTAGGTTAATGAATGAATGGTCTCTCCATTAGAAACAATCGATTGTTATTTTTATAAAATTTACAATCAGCTTTTCTGATCCATGTGGTTAGTGTCCTGGGCCCAACTTTAAAGTCCGGTATCTCTTCCCTAACATGACTTAATAGGTACGTGCAGTGGCGGCTCGTGACTGTCTGATGTGGTGAGGCGATGATAGAAGTTTGACAATAATAATATTAATAATCAAATTAATTAAATTAATGTGATTAATGCATATTACTTGGTCTTACTAATTAGTAATGATAGAAGTCTTGCCCGAATACCGGTCATTTCCGGGTCAGTGGCAGGTCCTAATAATAATAATAATATTAATAATAATACCCATAACACATTTAATCAACAATATTTTTACAAGTCAAAATTTTGTTCAAACTAGCACTTTCTTGGAGGGATTCAGGAATAGTTGTTGTGTTCCTTTGTAAAGGTTTTAGGCCCATGAAATTTTTAATGTGTACTTTGGAACTTTCATGTAACTTTGTATTTCGGATGAAATAATTTAAATCGTTATTATATCCCGGGACATCAAATATTACGGCAGAGCCATTTATATGTTTCGTACCAAGTTGATTTAAAAGACTTGGAGTACTGACGATTCTGTCGCTTATCAGTGGAGGTTAAATGAATTAACGGTTTTGACTGCTCGATATTTAGCAAAATTTGCCGACGTTTTGCTCGGTTCGCCGTGAAAACAGCGTTTCAAGAAGGAACATGACGATATGGTACTCGGAATTCATTTTTCACTCACCTGTACCTATGAAAGAGACAAAAGTACGAAACATCAACACGTGGGCTTTTACTCACCTTCATGCTAATTACCCACGCACCCTGCAGCCCTTCCGTTCTGTAAAATAAATGGGAAAATGGTTTAATGAATACGCCGAAAATGGCCGAGAATCACCGAAGATATCGCCTCAGTTCCGAGCGAACGCATGTATAGGAGTATAGGAGCTGAGCCATGGAAATCCGTGTCTATGATTGGGCTTCGTTGCTTCAAGTGAACCGACGTTCTGGCCGCTTCAGTTAAAGAATTAGGAGCATAAATCGTACGGCCATTTCAACATATTTTTGTAACTAAAAATGCATTGAAGGCTCTTTTTTAATTACAAATTAAGTCAATCTGTTCTTAAGATATATGCTGTGAGGCGCCGCCTCACTTGCCTCATCTGACGAGCCGCCACTGGGTACGTGTTCGTTAGATGGAATCATTGTATACATAATTTCCCGGACTGACATTAAATCTACAGGATTTACTTAAGTTTTTATATTTCTAGTTAATAGTAGTGGACAGATTCTCTTTGAACCTTGTCTTTTTTTATAAATTATATAAAGATTTTTCAGATATTTTTAACATTTCGGCCGCCAGTTCTGTTTTTCTTTTTTTCTTAACTTGCACAACTTCATGGTTTGTTTCTAGAGAATCCAACACACTTAATATAACTTGTTTTGTTTGATCACTAAATCCTTTCATTGCTCAGAATTAAGTAGAGTAGTAAAACGTTCAATAAACCAAAAATTCTGTTTGACAAATAATTCTGAAGACAAATTTCAAAATTTTTCATAAAAGTTCTACGACATAGGTAGGTTGGTAGGTAGAAAGAGAAAAAGTTTTACCTGGGGTATTTCCACCACTACAGGAATGATGAAATCTTCCAAGCTCTAAAATAGGTATAAGTGGTTGCCTAGTCAGTCCCCGAAAATAATTACCCTGTTATAAATAAACGGCAAATAAGAATTCCAAGACCCATTCCAATTATAATTTTTATTGCGCATCCATTTCTTTCTATGCATAATAACAAAACACTCACGTCTGTAGTTATTGAATGATATGTTATCCTGATGTAAATTTTTAGCAGTTCCTGTAAAAACTTCGCAGAATACGGAAGTGTGGTGATAAATAAGTAGTTACAAATATATCTATAAAAAGTTTGTCATAAATTCTGTGTGCGTGGCAGGTTTGTCATGAAAAAAATTAGCTTATTCTGATCTAGTTAATAACTGCTTATTTGTTTTCATTCCATAGTGATCAACTGATCATTTCATGAAGATGTCGTTTTTTTTCTATGAAGTTTTTTTCGTTTTTGCCTTCATTACATGTATATCTGTTTATACATCCATTTTATTTTACTAAATGACATCCAAATTTCGTCATAGGAAATTTAAATACAGGTTGTTCATTTTATCTGTTCACGCCTGAATATTTCTGCATAGGCAACCCATTTTACGTTTCATAAACAGGTTAGATTAATGTTTATTTTTAAATAATAATGAACCCATAGATAGTAATGATCAGAACCAAAATGATGACAAATGGCATTTTCAACATTTATTAGAAATTCGTTTTCGTTGTAATCTGATCCATTAATAAATTGAGTATTAATTTTTTCAATTTTGTCATTTGGTATTGACATCTTTGTCATTTTTTTTCTGTGAGTGCTATGTTTGCTCATTAAAAAAAAAAAAATTGGACGAAGTTGTCTCTGGGGTGTATAATATGTTGCCTATGCAAAAGTTGTCAGGCGTCAACAGATAAAATGAACAGCCTGTATAATAATTACCAATGCGAGAGAACTTAAATACGAAATTTTATTCTTCTAAGAATGTGATAGAATTTAAACCTATAAACTAACAAATTGTTTGGTTGCAGCCGACCCCAAGAAAGACCACTGTAACAAGACTGTGGAAATTTATGAAGATGTTGCCAGTCCGGAAGTGACCAGCGACAATTTCGGGAAACCGATGACGTGCTGGTACAGGTTCCGGTCATTCCGGGGAACTCCCAAAGACTGGATCCTTAGGATCAAGTTCAACAAGTTTAAAGTAGGAGTTTTGCTCAACGCCAGCCACTGCGAAGGCGGATACATGCAGGTAAGTGTTGCTTTCGCTGAAAAATCTAAAAAGTGTTATTAAGCGTTTTGCCTAAATTTATGGTGATCAAATTTCACGTTTTCGCCTGACATGATTTTCTATTATTTTACTTTCTAAACAAAGTTTCCCGAATGTGATTTGCGTGATTTATGTGTTTTATTTCTTTCTTGCGGACGTTCTAGTGCAACATCACAATCCATTTTATCTTATTTTTACGTTACGATTAAATTTATCGAGGGTTCTATTTAAATGCAAAAATATGGCCCATAACTTTTGGTTGTTTTCGACATAAAATATGATAACCTATATGCACGAAACTCTAAATAAAAACTGAAAACTCAATTTCTATTTCGTTCAATACAATATAAACTGAATACTATTTTCAAATGGGAAAACCATTTCCAGACTTAAAAGCTCGCTCACATACGTTAGAAAATTTGAATATCGATTAACGAACTTGTCATTCCATCGGAGCGAATCCTTTTCATTGTGAATCGCGTGACGCTAATAGTAATAAAGTTAAATGTAGTTCTAAATGAACTAAAAACATTCAGATCAGCTGACAGTAAACGGAGAATTGAAGTGCGCACAATGAAGATGAGACCGGCGAGTTAATGGAACAGAACTATTTTGAATGAGCTCTGCATGGCAGCAAATCAGTCTGTCATTTTATAGTCATGGAATTAATGCATCAAGCGTATGTGGTGGGATTAAATACATATTTAAATTTATATTAAATTAAATTTAACGTGGTGTGGTGAGTAAACAGATGATTGAATATGCTTTCATGGTAGATTAACTAGTGTTGACGTTTCCTGTTTGTTTGATTTAAAGGTACATTTAAAAGGTAATCATAAGTGTAGTTAATTCTATAGGGTTCGAGAAACTTCTTTTTTTACTTTTAATCTGATGTACTTAAAAGTTGAATTATAAGTAGTGGTGGTTATTTTTTTGAAGTTATCGGGATTTTGTTGTAAATTTGCATATCAGGTAAACTTCATGTCCAGCTGTTTCAGCATTTGATTAACGTATATAAACACCAGTTATATTTTACTGGTACAGTTTTATAAATGAAAATTAAAAATCACTAAAACTCATGCATGAACAAAAGCAAAGATTGCGAATATGGACAAACGAAATATTTCATAATTTAGATCTCATTTTCATTAGAAACGATCAATGCGGTAAGGTATTATTTAGGGAATGGAAGTATATCTACTTATAGGTTTACTATAGAAGTGAAAGCTAAAGTTCTTATCACTGTTCTCCCTACATTAATATCTAGAAAGGAGGGAAATTGTCTGTTAATAACAAAGTCTATTCAACAAACATGACTATGTTCATTATGTCACTCATTGATGAGTTCATTTCCAAGTATCTCTACTGTACGAGCAAATAATAAACGTATTATTCAGGTATCAGAATCAGCATAGTGTTCTGAAATGACTAGATTCAACGGGATTCTATTTAGTTGTTCGACGAAAATATTAATTAAGAGATCTTAACTGTTGCTGTAAACAGACAATAATAGATATATTTAAAAATCGCTCGAATTGGGTTAGTGAATACAAACTAAACATACACAAATATGCAATAGATTATCATAATATGCAAAATATGTAATAATTAATTTAGATCAATCAATTTAAAAAAAGATAATTCAGATATAAATTAAAGCAATTAGTAGTCATATCTCTTTCTCTCTCTTTCTCATTTAGAAATCAATTTAATTGTTGTCCAAGCCGAGTTCTAACAAATTTAATAAAGTTAATGTTATTTTTAGATTTTCCGATTATTTTCTAACAAATAAAACGTAATTCACTCTTTATTAGGAAAGCAATCTTTTTTGGAAGAACAGTTCACGCACAATGCGCATTCAAGAAAAGTCCCATTCCGTCTCCAGGAGACTGTTTCTCATCCGTCATCCCTTTACGAAACCGACCCTACAAATCGACTGCAAACTTTATATCCGTCCAACCCGCTCGAATCGTCCGGTATTTACTAAATACATTTGGTTTTCTTTGTTGCAGTCGTAATTTTGTCTGGGGCTACGTTTTAAGTACACTTATTTATAAAACCAAGAAAATAGTGTCTTTTGTGGAAGCGGTTCATTATGAATTCCGATCCTGAAAAGTTTGAAAGTTTGTACTAATTGTTTGTAGACAAACTTTACTTCGTAAATGAAAACATTGAATAGTTTGTAAAGAATAATTAATAGCCGAAACTATGTTGTAACAATAATAAATCTTAGTAGCGAACTCCACCAACTCTGAAATTGATTAAAATTTTACATCTTTTGTATTGACTAAGTTTGAAAAGTCTTAAAAAATTTACACAGAACTTTTCTCATTTCTGAATAATCCAGGTATATCAGGGCATATTATGAATATGAAGATTAATTTAACAATGTTTTGAAATATGAAATATCGTGGTGCTTCTATATCTCGTTCTGAATTCAGGTCTTTTGAGGTACCTTTTTCTCTCGTATAGTTTTCTCAAAACTTTCTTACTTTAAATGATGCGAAAACCTTGCAATTTTTCTTTTCCTTGACACATTTACCATCTTAGGAAAATTTAGAGGGTCCTAAATTTTTAGGTGTTTGTCTTGATAAGGGTCTAAGCTGGGATGATCACATAAGTAACTTATATTGAGTTGTGGAAAAAATATTTACCTTCTAAGTAAATGTTTTGTCTGCATTAGTTGCACTAAATATACGATTAATGTTTATAAGTATTGTAGTTTAATTCATTCAAATAACACACATTTTAGGTATATTTAAACTTCAAAAATAGTATATTATTAGCCAAGGTTACAGAGCCAAGCATTCTAGACCGAGCGCAAATTAGAACCCGAGACGCGCAGCGTCGAGGGCTCTAAGTGCGAGGTCTAGAAGTGGCTTTGCAACCGTGGTTAATATACTATTTTTTTCACTAGTAGAAACCATAAGACAATAAACTGAAAAATAAACGTTCATTTGTTTGACACAACATGATTTTGTTTTGATTTCTAATCAAACTTAATCTAAATCTTCAACACAAAGAAAACCGTTTATATTTGTCGCTGAGTTAATCATTTTATCTTGTACCATCTACCAACTACCATGCGTATACTCAAGTAATGTTTGTAGCACACATTTGTTCACTTTTTAAGAAATAATCACATCAAACATTGCGTACATAACCTCAATTTTTCTTTTTGAACCGGTGGTAGCAAAAGTTGAATTTGCTACCACTAAATGAGTCGACATTTGCATGCGTCCAGGCTGCTAGTGAAAAAACACTAAAATTATTACTGTACTTAGGGCTTACATTTTTGTTTGCTTAAACTATATAAGAATTAATTATGAGCTACTGCTGACTCGTGGTAAATTACATGAAAATGCAGCCTTTCGTTTAAAATTAATTTAGACATTCAGTCCCAGCGTGTACAAAGGTCTAGAGTTGGTCTTCATTATTGAAGTCCAAAGTTTTTTAATTCCTTACCCTATGTAATACGTGACCTGCCTGTTGTTGCTTTTAGAATGAAACTTAAAGCATTTCTTGTCAAACATGCGCTCTGTTCATTCGATGAATTTAATGAAGTTAAAGAAGTTAAATCTTCAAACATCAATTTATAAATTGATGAAACTGACTTGTTTAAACATCATAATGTGTCTTACATTTCCTATTTCTTTGATTTTTGGTATTAGTCAGTTTTTTCCGTTGTATTTTCAGTATCAACACCGATTTTTATGTTGTACAGGTTTCCGACGTGAATGTCATGCATGTGTAAGTTATATTATATCTAATGTTTGTTGTTGTCTTGCTGTATTATTGTTGTATCTTCTATAATTTCTTTGTTTGTTTTTTATTTTCATCATATTTATCCTATTGTTAATGGCTGCGTGTTTGTACATATGTGGCTCTAGATGCTTTGAATATGCCGAATTCGATTTTATTTTTTACATTTATTCTTATAAAATCATTGCTTGTTCTTCGCCCTGCATTTTTTGTGTAAACTTTATTCCAGAGAACAAGGTGTTAATATATTTATTGATTGACTTGTATTAGTTCTTTTTATGATGTCATATCTTTCATGTCACTGTGATATTGAATCACTTTAACAATTTTCAGGTCGTCGGCATAAATCAATGTTGGGCAACAAATGTATCTCCAAATAGAGTTAAACAGTAGAACAAAAAATAAGGGCCCAAGTGTAGAGTCCTGTACACCACTCTTTACCTCAAATCAAATGACTTGAAACCTTAAATCACATCTACCTGTAATCTGTAATCGTTTGTCTGCTGAGGAAACTAATTGAGCGAATTCATATAAGTTAATGACCTTTTACAAAATCGTGCTCTTTTTTATAGTAATCGACCAAAAACCAAGCAGGAACGTAATCTGGACCACAGATTTGATTGCCTTTGATTTTCTTAATTGATTTAAAATATTACCTTATCCACTTCATTTCGCACGACTTGGAGGATTTCGCATCGGCTGTTCAAAAGTGGAGTTTTCATCGCTTTTAAATTTTCTTCCATTATTCTTCGATCTTCTTTTCTATTTTCTTCCATTATTCTTTGATTTTCGTTCAACATTTTCATTATTTTTGTCAGTTGTTCCTCCATGTTGACTGTTTGCGCTCTTGTGGTAGTCGGCATCAAATTTTCTTCTAGAAACTTCTAGAGTCTTGACGGACGTCTATTCTCGAAGTCAGTGTCAGGTGATGAAAGTCCAATTCGCTTATTCCACTATTAGCGCGGGAGAGAATTTTCTCGAAAGTTCACTTAGTTCCGGTCTCCCCTAGTAGCAGCAACACAAATTCGAAACCCGATTTCTTTCACAATTGATCCCACTTCTGACACCAATGTTACGTTTGACAGGCGAATAATTAATCGGGCGTAGGTAAAACTCAAAGATTTATTTCTTTAACTCGAATTACACTACTAGCTATTGCAACGAATATGTACAGAAATTATTCCGGCGAATTCACTGGACGCTCTTGACTTTTTTGGATT